GCTCTCTGTGAAACACTTCAGGGATAAGGATGCTAGGTCAATGACAGCACTTGGATTAGAAGCAATGAGAACCATCACAAAATGACAGCTCCAAGGGGCAGTCAAGAGAGTATCACTGTCAGCTAGATCGAAAGTGAATTCAGTGGGAACAGACCCTGATTACACTTGAAATATATGTAAGTCACAAGCATAGAAACTTAATAGTTCTGTTCTGATGGCTTCATGCCAGTTTTCCACGATCACTTCTATAAAGCCATCTTCCGAACACAGCGAGAGTATCTTATTTCTTTTCCAATCCTAGCCCACAGCTGAATGGTCTTCTGTTCCATTTTCCCCGCGGTGGACACAGATCCCCTCCACTAAATGAACCCCCTCCTCTCACGACTCACTTGAAGGAAATGAGTACCTGCCAGTGAGGAGGCTGAGGCACATTAGCGCTCCTCCAAGAAAACCACTTCTAATGAGCTTTTGTCTTAACAAGCATTGAGAAAACACTGAGCTCTTCCTTTCATTGTTCTCCTGCCCGCCACATCAGAAAGGAGTGGAGAAAGGGCTCCAAAAAGGACCGAGCAGAGAGGGTAGTTTGTTTTGGTTTGGTTTGGCTCTTTGCAACTTACCATTCTATGAGTTCTGACCCCTTGTTATATTTTTAATAGAACATGTTTAGAAAAACATTTCCCCCATAGCTGCTTCACTGGGGTTAAAGAGGACTTCACTGCAGTCTAATTCTGGAATGGCTCAGGTTTCTCCAGTAACCAGTAATATCTGAGCAGATTTCAATGTGAGTGACCAGGAGAGAGAGAGAGAGAGAGAGAGAGAGAGTGTGTGTGTGTGTGTGTGTGTGTGTAAAGTTTGAGCATTTACCAAATGCTTGGCACCATGAGTAGGACAAAAGTCATCATACATGACATTGTTTTAGCCTCAAGAAGCCCAGCCTTGTTGGGTTGTAACAATCTGTATTTTGACTTTTGCTCAAAGGTCTAGTGAAGTGGGTTAAAGTGCTGTTTCTCTAATAGAAGTTGCAGAAGTGTAGTTTTCAACTCCATGTCTTTGTTGAGTTTTTCAGGGGAGCCTTTTTTTTTTTTCCTTTTTGCAGCCCCATCCCCGAGCATCAAAATGCATTAATAACCCTATCTCCTACCTTGAGTAGGACCCAGCATTCATTGGTCTGCTATTGTCTTTTGCTGCCGTAGCTTTTCAACTCAGAGTTCCGTAAGGGTTTATACGTAGATCTGCACATAGAGAATCAACTGCTACAGATTCATTTTACCCACATTGGGTTTCCTCGAAAAGTACTTTGTACAGGGTGTTGTTATGACTATCATTCTGCTTAGAAGACAGCAGAGAGCCTTCATCATGAATAGATTATCACAAAGGTGATAGATTTGGTTGGTTTTGTTTTGTTTTATTATATTTCTGCATCTCATCAGCACAGGTTAAGAGAAGCTGGGGAAAATAGAATGAATAATTTTGGATGACTCAAATGCACCACGCTGGACAGCTCCCAGCCTCTGCAGTTTCTCTATGGGTTCCAGGAAGGCCGGGACAGGAGTGAGAAAATATTCACTCCTCACACCTAGCCAAGGAGTGTCTGGAGAGTTCTGTGGAAACCAGGAGCCTGTGTGTCCTCTGTCTATGCAGCAGCTGTTGTCGGCTGTGCTTGGAAAGGTGTAAAGAGTAGGCAGAGGCAGGCTTTTGGGAGCCAGGCGATGGCAGTCACTTACAAGGGGAGTAAGTGAGGTTCTTATCTTCAACAGCTCGTCTGCTTGTCTGCTTGTGTGTGTCCTCCCCAAATGCGGACACAGACCCTCCCCTGCCTTCACCTTGTAGGTGGGGCACAGTAGGAGGTTCGGGATGCTGGCCTGATCACATCTGGCAGGCAGGGCTTAGCTGCATTTTCAGTGGGACACAGACGTTGGCATGAATCCAAGGAAAGCAATCGGAAAGAGGGATGTGGAAGCTGTCAAGTCCCCAGGACCCCCAGGAGTCAGGACAGCCATGTGGCCAAGAGCACAGGCCTTGGTAGACAGGGCCAGTTCATGACTCTGCTTTCCAGTTATGTGAGCCTGAGTACACAATCTAACCCTCCAAGCCTCAGTTTTCTCATCTGTGAAATGGGGCAACCTTGTGGGGTGCTTGTGAGAATTCAGTGAAAAGGGCACAGGAAGCCCTTAGCTCTATGCTTAAACAATGTTAGTTTGTCTTTTATGAGGAATATGGAAGAAACTGGAATTGTTTGGAAACTGGAGAAGAGATTAGAGAAAGACGTATCTGCAGATTTTTAAAGGATTAATGTGTGGCACAAGGAACAAATTTTTTCTTTTTTTTTGAGACAGAGTCACTCTGTCGCCTAGGCTGGAGTGCAGTGGCATGATCTTGGCTCACTGCAACCTCCACTTCCTGGGTTCAAGCAATTCTCCTGTCTCAGCCTCCCAAGTAGCTGGGATTACGGGCACATGCTACCATACCTAGCTAGTTTTTGTATTTTTAGTAAAGGCAGGGTTTCATCATGTTGGTCAGGCTGGTCTCGAACTCCTGACCTCAGGTGATCCACCTGCCTCGGCCTCCCAAAGTGCTGGGATTACAGGCATGAGCCACCACGCCCAGCACAAACTTATTTGTGCTGTTAAGACAATATGACTTAAAGTATGGCCTTTGCAGGAAGGCAGATTTTATATCACTAAAAGATGTGACAGAGATGCTCAGGAACGGAGTGGCCCCTGCACTCAGGAGCTGAGGGAGAAACGCTCACTCCAGATGGGAGGTTGGTTGGACCCAATGCCAGTTCTCTTCCATCCTACGACACCAAGAAATTTAGCAAAGAGGCTCAGCTTTTTTACTCTTGAAAGCATTTATGAAACCAGCAATTGTGTGGAATAAAACAGAAAAAATAATTTCCAAGGGACCCACTGGGGACCAAATGGCAAGCTCATTTGCTTAGAAGTGTTAGTAACTTCCTCATTGTATTAGTTTGGGCTGCCATGGCACACAACCACAGACTGGGTGGCTGAAACAACAGAACCTTATTTCCTCACAGTTCCGGAGACTGGGAGTCCAAGGTGGAGGCGGGGGACGGGTTGGTTTCTTTGGAGGCCTCTCTCCTTGGCTTGTAGACGGTGGCTTCATTGCTGTCTTCCCACCGTCTTCCCTAATCTTCACATGTCTGTGTCCTCGTCTCCTCTTATAAAGACCGGAGTCGTGGATTAAGGCCCGCCCTCATGACCTTGTTTAACATCAGTTGCCTCTTTAAAGGCGTTAACTTCAAATGCAGTCATTTTCTGGGGTGCTGGGGTTAGTTAAGGCTTCAACATAGGGATTTTGGGGAGGAGGACACATGACAATCATCTCCAAGGGATTTATCCTTTGAGTCGTGGGGATTATTGACCATGACGGCCCTTCGGAATTTTTTTCATGTTCTTTAAACTGTATCCTGTCTGATTCCTTTCTCTTAGGTGAACGGCCCTTTCCCTGCACGTGGCCAGACTGCCTTAAAAAGTTCTCCCGCTCAGACGAGCTGACGCGCCACTACCGGACCCACACTGGGGAAAAGCAGTTCCGCTGTCCGCTGTGTGAGAAGCGCTTCATGAGGAGTGACCACCTCACAAAGCACGCCCGGCGGCACACCGAGTTCCACCCCAGCATGATCAAGCGATCGAAAAAGGCGCTGGCCAGCGCTTTGTGAGGTGCTGCCCGTGGAAGCCAGGGAAGGATGGACCCCGAAAGGACAAAAGTACTCCCAGGAAGCAGACGCGTGAAAACTGAGCCCCGGAAGAGGCACACCGACGGCACAGGAAGTCACTGCTCTTTGATCAATATTCTGATTTTCCTCTCCCTGCATTGTTTTTAAAAAGCACATTGTAGCCTAAGATCAAAGTCAACAACACTTGGTCCCCTTGAAGAGGCAACTCTCTGAACCCGTCTCTGACTGTTGGA